CGTACACTATTGAGTTATGGATGCACTTGGGAGGTTTGCTAAGCACTCAAGAAGCTAGAGTCGCTCTCGGCTATCGCCACGAGCGACTCTTACGCTTCTTTCGTGCCTAGCAACCTCCCGCGCGCATCCATAAGTCAATAGTGTACGCTGTGGTGTTTACCATTTGTTAATTTTACTAGATTGACTGGGTGCCTGTGCACCTTCCAATCCTAGAATGCGATGTTTCGAATTACCCTTGGTGAACATTGTCGTCTCGTTTTTTCTTGACACCAATTGCCCCTTTGAAGTTTGAGCCGGCGTACTTTTATATAGCAATGTATCTAATAAACCTTACAAATCTTTTCAAAGACTTCTTTTTTGGACTGATATTGGAAAAAACCCAAAAATCGAAGAAGCTGCAATGGACGGAAGTAATAGACGAGTGATTGTGAGTGAAAACTTGGGTACTCCAACAGGAATAACCATAGATCCTTCGTCGAGCCGTCTTTTCTGGATTGATGCTAAATTGGATAGAATTGAAGAGTTCAGTTTAAAAACTAGCAAACGGAAAGTCCTTCTTTCACTGAAGAGGGGCGTTTCCGGTTATGGGCTCACAATCCACCAGAGTTGGCTGTACTGGTCTGAATGGCAAACCAAAAGTATTTCACGAGTTTCAGCCAATGGTGGCAATGTGGAGATCATGGTTACCGGACTCATGAAACCAATGGATATTTTGGTCTATGATACCGCTTCGACCAGTGAGTGTAAAACCTTTTTTTTTGTTTTTTTGCACTGCATGCCTAATCCAGAGACCAAATTAAAATTTCTTTGCCTTTTTCCTTCTCTGTAAAACAAATGGTAAAGCTGGGATGTTGTGAAGAACCAACTGATCATTCCCACCATTTATAGATTCACAGAGGTCGTGAATGTTTTGTAAAATCGCTTCAGATACTTTATACACTGGCCCGAGTAAAAAATTACAAATTGGTTGATATTAAATAGCCTGAACTGCGAACGTCTGGGAAGTGTTTATTCTCAAGATGGAGGAAAAGATGGAGGTAAGGGCTGAAACGAAGGGCAGGCCATACCAAGGAAATGGCTTGGAAATAATGCCATATCTTTGAGAAAATTTTTAAATTCTTATAAATAAAATAATAAAGAAACATGGCTCTTTGCTGCCCGTGGAAGCCCAAGGATGATTCTACTTGGACGTTAGCGTTTCGTGACGTGGAGTTCTCACTTAGACACGGATCTGAAAAAGGCTTGTGGTTATTATATTCAATACCTTTTAAAACGTATTGGGTCTTTTACTTCCTTTCAAATTGTTTTCAATCTTAGTTAGCAGCAGCTGTTCATTGAAAAATGGATTATGCAGTGATTTTTGCTTATTAAGCCCGACGGGATATCGATGCGCTTGTCCAGCAGGAGTTCCTCTTCTTCCCGATAGAAAAACCTGTGATCATGGTGAGTACAAAGCCGAGTCGTGTTTCGCTATAATTGTAGTTAAAAAAGGTAGTTAAAATGGATTCCTCGGCCTATTTTGATAAGGAGCTGAGTCTAGTTGACAATTCAATTTATTTTCTTTCTTCGGTGATTTACACAAGACGCTTTGCACAATAATTAAAAAACATCGAACCATGTTTCCATGTCTACGGGAATTGCATTGAAAGCAGTTTTTTTTAATAAAACTGATGCAGCAATCCTGCATGAGTTAAAGGGTTTTTCATTGATTAAATAATGTTTTGAGAATATCATGATTGATTACAAAGCGTTTACCATCGCTGTCAGCAGGGAATGAAAGACTGTTTAAGGCAAAAATTAATGTTCTGTCTTGCTTTGGTTTGACAAACTTCCAAGTCGGTTAAAATTGACCAAATTTAACCTTTTACATCCTTGAAATTTATGGATTGCAAGAAATTATGTTGTTTTCTGTAACATTTTTGTTCAATCATTGACTAGTCTCTTAACCCTGAGAGGCAAATGTTTGCTTCTTTTTTTCCATTTTTGCTTATCTTAATTTCATTTGGGCTTACAGATTTCTTCAATGAAGCAAGCTCGGATAATTTTCTTTTGATTGCTGGTTCGTACTCAGCTAAAATATACAAGATTCCTCTCGAGGAAACCACTGATAAGCCATGCAACTATTTGGATATTAAGGGTACGATCGCATATCCAATAGCTCTTGATTATGATCCATTGGAAGGTATAGTATATTGGACTGATGGTCGAGCTAAAGTCATTGTTCGAGCTACTCTTGATGGCTCTTCCGTGGAGGTAATTGTGCGAGAAAACATCCAGAGCCCCGATGGCATAGCAGTCGATTGGATAGCAAGAAATATTTATTGGTCGGACGCTGGAACGCAGAGAATAGAGGTTTCAAGACTTGATGGATCATCCAGAAGAAGTCTTATTACAACAGACATTGAAAAGCCCAGAGCAATTGCTCTCAATTTCGCAGGAAGGTATTTTTGGGTAGACTTTGTTTGATAGAAAAAGCAGGGTCAGTCTGTCAAAACTTAGTTGATACATCATGTCTGAGGAGTTTTATCTATGTGAAGAATAACAGTCCTGTTTTGTTAATAGAAAAAAGATGGTAAGTTTTAAAAGAAATTAAGAAGTAAAGAAACAGGGAAAGGTGGTTTTCGTCTGATCACGAGCGTGAGGCAAAGAAAATTTTTTAAGTTTACATGATGAATGGAACCTCAGACCTTCGGATTCTGCGTTCCGATGCTCCACCAATGAGCCACAAAGAGTCTATGGCGAGCAAGGCCCATTACGAAGTTCATATATGACACGTGTCCTGCATACTGCTAGGATCGGTAATGTCAATAGCGTCATGCATTGTAAATGGGAGAAATGTTTAAGTTTTGAGGTCGGTAAAGAAATAGAGAAAGAGGTTTTCTTCTTGTCACGAGCGCGGGACAAAGACATATTTCTGCGTTCCCATTAGGAATCGAGCCTCAGACATTCGGACCTTCGGAAAACATCCTCCTTTATATATATATATATTGTGGGAGGAAAAAGACAAGTAAACTACAAGTTCATCCCTACAAGCCTGTTTCGTGGTCGCCCACTCATCAGGGGATTTCCCCTGATGAGTGGGCGACCACNATATATATGTCTATATATGTGTGTATTTTAATTCATATCAAATAAACCATCCGGAAATTATTGAAACTTTTTTGCAGCACGTTGTTTTGGAGTGACTGGGGTTCTACGCCAAAGATTGAGCGGACTAACATGGATGGCACTGGAAGGATTGTACTAGTAAACTTTAAATATGCGTGGGTCAATGCAATTTCCTTAGACATCGAAAAAGGACACCTATACTGGTTCGACGCCAGGATGAAAAGAGTGGAAAGGATTGATTTTGATGGCAAAAATCGTCAATTTATTGTATCCTTTAGGTTTGTGATCAACCTTCATCCATTTGCACTCGTTGTTAGAAGGGACATTCTTTACTGGACTGACTGGTCACGAAAAGGGGTGATTCGGTACAATTATACTTCACATCGAGGTGAGCTGGTCTGGAAAGGCTTAGCAAGACCAATGGGCTTGCACCTTCATGATTCTCAGAAGATGTATCAAGGTACATGCAATGAAAAATTATAAAGGATATCTTAACTATCATTTTGGTATGTTAGACTATTACAAAAAAAGGCTATGTGACTAACATCCTCGCAAATATTCGATTTAAGGGTCAAGTAAATGTTCGCATCTAAACGGAGGATGCAGTAACCTTTGCCTACCACACCCTGATGACCGTCGCTGTTTCTGTCCTGAGGGCGTCAGATTTGTACCTGGAGACCCATACACCTGTGAAGGCGGTGAGTTTTTACCTCAGTTTTTTTCCCAAATACTTTTAATTTTACACAATAAAGAATAAATGAATAACTTGTTAAACAGCTTACTACAGAAGGTAAAATTGGTAACAACCAACGAAACCGACTGACATTTGTTAGCTGAGCTTTATTTTCAAGCCAACCAATCACCGATCTGATGAGAAAAAAGGAAGATCTATGAAAACAGTCTACCGATATTATCTATTTCCAGCTATTAAACTGATATCTCTCCTGTTTCCTTTAAATTTGAAAATTTGCGTTTGATCCTCGAGATCAGAGGCAGATTTGTTAAGTACTCGAATGTGAGATAACTATTATTTTCGTTCTCTTGGTCTAGCCGTCAAGTGTCCCTCCCTACCAACACCTGCAAATGGCATCCGACAGGGTTGCCAGGGAAATACCACGGAGGAGTACTTAACCACATGCACCTTCTCTTGCTCTACTGGATATTACGGCTCGGGCTCTAACGTTAGGAAGTGTCTACGAAATAGCAGTTGGAGTGGGCATGAATTTACATGCCAAGGTATTAAGAAGTAACCGAGGCCAACTTCACTGCTCTATTCCATCGTTCCTGGCTATCCAACCCCTGCACATGATATTATAGTCCAACTTGGCACAATTCGATTAACCGGCTGACAGAGAAGTGAGATTGTGAAGTCGGAACTGGTCTCATTGAACTACGAGTTTTCAGGGATTTGTCTAGTAACATTAGTAATGAACTTGCGCTTGCTCTCCTGATCACCTGAGTCCTGCTTGTCTCTGTGTCGTAGGGTTTCTATTTAGTAAAAACATATTTCAATTTACAAAAGGAAAATAAAAAAACTTCAGCATTTCTGTCTTACAAAGCCTATCAATTAAAGGAAAACCACAAAAAATGTTTTTGTTTAACTGAAACAGCTGTCAGATGTGGCCCTTTGAAAGTACCTTTAAATGCAGTTCTTGTGACTCCATTTTGTGGAAAAACCTTCGGAGCAAATTGTGTACTTGGCTGCCAGTATGGATATGCAACCAGGAATGGAAACGTCACTAGATCGTGTTCCCCGTTGGGAAAGTGGATTGGACAAGTAATCAATTGCCAAGGTAAAGATACCGAAACTGTTTGATCAAGGCTTGATACTCTCTTCAAATAATTGCAAAGATCTTTGAACGTTGTTACAGTTTTCTAAATGTTTGTAGATCTAGCAGTGCATATTCCTCCACAGACATTCTTCCTCCATCATTTGGCAGCACCTGCCCTGCAAAACCTTATCTCGTATTTCCACGAATGAATGAGATCTCAGCTGTAGTGAATTGGATGGTACCTGCTGCCAAAGACAACTCTGGTAATCCTCCCGTGATGCAGACAAATTTCAAGTATCCCCCACAAAGATTAAGGGAAGGCACTCATCTAATTATCTATACTGCAACAGACATTTCAGGGAACAAAGCAACATGCAGTATTCTCATTAACGTCACAGGTAAGCGGTTCCTTTTTTTAAGGAGACGAACTTATGCTACACATGAGTTCTTAAACTTGGAGACGTGAGTTACACCTGTACACGTCCTTGAATTGTGAAGCAAAATAGTCTCCATTTATCTGATAAAATAAACTTCTTTAGCTCATAACTTGCGTGAAACTTATCAAATTGTTAATCCCACCGAATTTATTGAATAAAAACGCAGCTCACATTATCTATCTCCGCCTCTTTGTTCCTTAAAAGGCTAAAAATATGTATAATAAAAAAATGCTAAAGGTCTAAGACATGGACCACTTTTAGGCAGGCGGGGTTAAACAATTGCAAACTTTTAAAACGTAACCAAAGAAGCAGATCACACCTAAACAGAATGCCAAATGATCAAAGTGATATATTGCTCTCCAAAACAGTAATTTACTGCAAAAGGCTGAGTATCCGACCTGAAGGTCCTCTACGCGTAAACGACTGTGGCCACCACAATGGAGCCCATTGCTTGTTTTCATGTGCAGTTGGTTATCGCTTAAGAGGTTCATCAACCAGTAAGTGCATTGCTCCCGATGAAAGATCCTCAGGCATTTGGAGTAACCCTCCACCGTCCTGTGAAGGTAAAGTAAATGTCCATCGAAGTTTAATAACTAAAACCGTTTTACTCAAGATGAACGAAAGGAAGCAAACATCCAGTGCAGTTATACCGAGAGGCCCCAATTTTTATCTCTTCGTAGTTTTCCAGACCGAGCTAGTCGAGAAGATAGTGTCATCCTTAATTGTATGTTTCTTATTGTTTCTTTCATTTTCTTTTATTCATGAGAGCTATAAAAATAGCATGATCGTTTCTCATATTTCATCTTGCTGTGTAATATTGATGTCGATACAAAGTTTCGTACATTGGAGGAATGTCCGTAGCGGTGCGTTCCAACGAAAGAATTAAAGATGTTAAGATTTGAGGACGGCGTCTTCTTCTAGAACCTCACGGCATATAAAGGCCTGGGGCGAGAACGCCGTTCTTTGCGCGGAAATTTAGACTTAAGAAAAGATAAATAAGACGCAAACTTTTTCCAGCCCCTTGGTAGAGAATGGCGTCCTTCAGGAAAGCACGGGACGAACTTCTTATAAGTTTTTGCGAGGAAATCATCGATGAGGATGAATTTCTGTTGTTGTATGATGTTAACAAGTCGAAAAATCCACAGTATCTTCATTGGAATTATAAAAGATTTACGTTGCAAGATAAAAGTGAGGCTGAGTGTAAGACAGATTTTCGCTTCGAAAAATACGACATCCCTCCCTTGGTTGATGTTCTTGGCTTACCTGACGAAATATAATTAAAATCCTAAACTTACCTGGTCTCTGATAAAGTATAAAAAAATTAATGTAATGGAGGCTTTCGAAATGAGTATTCTTTGTAGTGGGATGACACTTGCATGGATAATAATAAAATATGACAGTCTTGGTTACGTGAGAATCAAATCACTTTAAAGGTAAGCCGAGAAAACAGGCATCTCCGATATATCTATTCTTAAGCCGCGGAAACGGCATAAGAGTAACTAGTAAATTACCAACTCATGAATAAAGTGGTAAAACATGGCAAACAGGAGGAGAATGTATCGAGACTTCAAAAGATAGATTGCAGCGCTCGAAAAGCGTTGATTAGGGTCGCTGTAGAAACTGCGAGTTTGACTTCTGATTATAAATAAACTCTACTTACATCAGCCGACCTCTCACATGACATGATAAATTGATGCTCAACATGATAAATTTTTCCATTCTGTTAATAAGGAAAACATGTGGAGTCTACTTACTCGGAACTGGAATCCATCGTCTATCTATGAAATAACAAACACTGTTAACAATAGATTATACAAAAGAACAACTAACAGGCGAAAGAAATGAATAATTTGAGCTCCAAAAACACACACATAATCACGTTTCGTGCACGACGCGAAATTAAAAAAATGGCGTACTCATCACATGTGAAACGCCGTCCCATTCACACACAGACATGCGCAATGTCATTTTTAGGTGAAAACGAACTTCCGGTGGCGTCCTAAACAGGTAACGTCCTCAAATCTTTATTTACGAAAGTGATTATATGTGCTAATTATGTATACATACATACACACATACTTTATTTAAGGTGGAAATACGCTTACCTTAAGAGCTAGTTTACAGGTATTCCACCTAATACCTAATAAAAGCCTAACAACTAACAACGTTAAAATCACAGCGGGTAAAATCACAAATTAAATTCTGATTGAAAGCTATTTAAAACTGTTATTACAAGATTACCGCCGCACTCAAAATACTATTAAAACTAACGTTACAAATCTACTAATCCCCGAAATTTAACGATCTAATTCTGTTTACTATTTCTTTGGTGCCCGCTGTTATTCTAATGTCATTTGAGAGTTCATTCCATTTCTTGGCTGCAAAATATCTCCATGACTTGAGTCCATATTTGGTAGTGTTAACTTAAGGTAAAGATAAAACATATTCTTGGCGCCTGAGATTGTACTTAAATGAGCGTAAGTTAATAAGATTCCGAATTGCCCGTGGTGCTTTGTTCGATATGCTGTTATGTACTGTGAGTAACATGTCTTGAATTCTTCGAGATTCCATGAAGGGTAGTCTTATCCTTTCCAAGAGATGTTGATAAGATGTATGTTTATCATTATAGGCATGACTCAGCGCGCTCTCTCATTTAGTTTTTCAATTTTTGCAGTGTTTCTTTTTCCGCAATGGTGCCAAACTTGGTTGCAGTAATAAAAATTCTGTAGTATGAACGAACGCTATAACGATTCCTTGGTTTTGAGTGGTAAAACATTTTTCAGTCTATTAAGCGCGTTTATCATATAAGGGGCAAAATTACTGAATTGTGACTGGTCAAGACAGCGGGCATTTTTTTCTTAATTTTTGTATTTTCCCCGGGAAAAATTGCTTGAAAATGATTGGCTGAAAATCGCTTACCAACGGCTGCCAAGGTAAAGAAATTTCTGTTTGTTTTGTAACAATGGCGTCCCGTTTTGCGCGAGATTAGTAAGAAAACATTTTTCCCCTTATATTATAAACAAGTAATCACATAGTTCCTCGTAAAATTAAGGATTAATATCACTTGTGTTTTCGGAAGTCGCAGAAATTGCCCTCGTCGCTGCTCGACACGGGCAATTTCAGCAACTTCCGAAAACACGCGTGATATTAATTCTCAATTTTACTCGGCCCCATGCGATTACCTATACCTATTTCAGCACTCACTTTGCGGCAAATACTCGAAACTTGATCGTCAAATTTAAGCTTACCATCGAGTACAACTCCCAAGAGGTTAGTCTTTTCTGCGGTTCTGATTTAAGGAGTAGCTTATCTTCTGTTCTGCCAAGGACCATAGCCTGGTACTTTTCCGGACTTGGTCTCATGCCATTTTGAATAAACCATGTAGCGCGTTCTCAAGATCACTATTTAGGTTGTCTTCAAGGGCACGTACGTTCTTATTGGAACAATGGATATTTGTATCATCCGCATTATTAATAATCCTGCATCGTGTTATTGTATACGCCAAATCATTTATAAAAATATTAAATAATTTAGGTCCCAAGACAGAGCCTTGAGGGACTCCTTTTAACACCTCTTCCCACGTGGAGAGGGCGATGCCGAGCTTCACTCTTTGATGGCGAGAAGAGAGATAGCTTCGCATTGAAGATAGCGCTTGATCGCCTAAGCCATAGAATTGAAGTTTTTCCAGAATTAAGTCATGTGGTAGACAGTCAAAAGCCTTACTTAAATCAATGGCTACTGAGCCAATAATGATACGATTATCAAGATCTTCCTTCCACTGTTCAGTGAGTGCAAGGAGTGCACTCGGGCACCTATGATATTTTCTGTATCCAAATATAGAATTATTAATAATCTTCTCTAAGTGAACTGTCAATTGTTGATGAATAAGATGTTCCAAGATCTTATGCCATGTAATGATCTATTCTTCATTATACTTCCATAGCTATTAAGTGCCAGTCTGTCCCTTCACCGACAAATGGGAGAAAAACTGGATGTTCGGGTAACGCCACTGAAGTATATGGCGTACGATGTAGTTTCACATGTAACGTTGGCTTCCGTCTATTTGGCTCTTCGTCCAGGTACTGCTTAGATAACGGGACTTGGAGTGGACAAAACTCCACTTGCAAAGGTAAACTGCTCTTTCAGAAATTTCGGTAAGCCCTTAAAAAACTTGAAAAGCCCATGTTACAAGCCTCGTTGGATAAGTCACGACAGTCGCAGCGATAACGCGACAAGCAGTTGCAATTGATAACTGACGTAGATTAATCCTTTTATTTTCATAAATCTCTCTATAACTCTAGTAAATAGGAACCTAACTACTGTGAATTTAATCTCAAATAAATGCTACTACCTCAGAAAATTGTATTTATAAGTATGAAATAGTTCTGAAACATTTTTTATTTCGCATAAAAATGATATCATACTCAACTGTACTTATTAAATAATTGAAAATTTCTTTCCTACCTGTGCCACCTGTGCGTAACAGATGGTCTTGAAAAACTTTATTTTCTCTGATGTTGTTTTAACGAAAAAAAAAAACAAACCAAGGAAAAGTAAATTAAAAAATAAGAAAAGACCACAGATGTACAAAAGTATTTCGAGAATATTAGGAGAAACTGAAGGTGCAATCGGAAAAAGATTTGGCTCACAACGGAAGTAGCACGTAGACTTTTTCCTTTTTCTTGCTCGAGGCATATTGGCAGAAGAATAATTTTTGAATCGAGTAATGAGGCACTATCACTTGTATGAAGACTTTGTTATGTTATCGGGGCCTTTTGATCACAGACTGTACAGCTTATCCAGGTTCTGTATAATTCCTTTCAGCCATTGAATGCGAGGCGCTAGTTCCTGCTCAATATGGCACTGTTTCACCATCTTCATGCCTTAAGAGAAGTATATTTGGCCACGAATGCTCTTTTTCCTGCTATGAAGGCTTCACCCTTGAGGGAACTGCATCTAGAGTGTGTTCCTTCTTTGGAAATTGGACTGGAAAAAACGATACCACTTGCAAAGGTAATATTGTATTCTTCAGATAGGGACTTTGTTACGCGTAGACAGAATAAAAGATGGTACATCTGAGCTCTGTAATGGCATAGGGAGCGATTAGAAATCCGTGTTGTCATCAGCGTGAGGCAACGGCAAAATTCAGAGTACTCAGAGGGATCAAACCTCAGACTTTTTGATTTCTCGTTCTGACACTAATTTTAGCCACAAAAACTCCACAATGTCCATCATCTCTCTCTAATTTTTGAAATATAGCCCCTCTGACGATATTGTGATTATCCTTGGTTCGGAGTCAAAACAAAAAACAGCATAAGTTGAATTTTCCATTACTTTTCTGTCTTTCTCTCAAGATTTTACTCCTCCAACTTTTAATGACTCTTGCCCCGGCAATTTGGCATTTCACACCGATGCGTGTCAAGACAGGGCCACCGTGTCATGGCAAGATCCAGTTGCTACTGATAATTCACCAGCCGTGACTGTCAAGCTTCCCACAATCAGGCCCCCTGTTAAACTCATAGTCGGTCTCTATGAGATACTCTACACTGCAGAGGACACAAGTGGTAACAGTGCAAATTGCAGCTTTGTTGTGCAGGTCGCAAGTAAGTATGTTTTTCTTAGGGATATTTTAAGTACTCGCCAACTTTAAGTAATATACATATGATCTGAATCATGCGGACTACATTAAAACAAACGATTCTTCCCGCAAGTAATGCTGAGAATTTGTGGACTTTCCATAATTTCAGGTCCTATTGATTTGTTTAGCTGTTTTTCTCTTTCATTTTTTTTTTTTTTTTGGACTTCGCAATCATCACTTGGTAGACCTTCCATACTTTCCTTAGTGTTTGGGTGCCAATAAGGCCTCTTGCTGGTGGCATCATTGGCTACGGTCGGTTGCTCATCACCGTTGAAAAAGTAAATATTATTTTGTCTACCCCCAGGAATTTCATGCCCTAAACTTCAGCCACCTTTGGACGGGACCATATCTTCAACTTCATGTGAATCATTCATGGGATCGACTGCCTTGTTCGCATGTAACGTAGGCTATCAACTCGCTGGGTCGAGGACGCGGTCATGCCAATCAAATGGCACTTGGTCTGGAAACGCCACGTTTTGCAACAGTAGGAAATTTTGTTAATATTTGATTATTCGTTCTACTCATCAAAAGCTTATTACCATTGAAAACCAAGGCTTCGTAAACCTTAAGATACGTACGGCTGTTCATTTAAGCTTAACGTGTGTTGGTGAAATGAAAAGGAGTAAAGTGATACTGTTAAATTCGATTATTTCTTCAGTTAAGCTTTCGTGTGGAGAGCCGCAGGAAAATATGAAATAACATGCTAAATTCGTGGACAAATGAGCGGTCAACGTGCTTTAACTATCTTTCTTCTTTTTCAAAAGTACTCTTTTGTGACTCTTAATTTGATTAGTTTAATCAGAGCAGTTTGATTGTCGAAAGTCATCGTGGATTCGTCTGGCTTTTCTTTACTAAGCTCTGGGAGGAAGGGATCCTTCTCCTTTTGATAGTATTTTAACTTGATATAAATGACGATGACTCTTTCTAACCTCCAGTTGTAAAATGCCCTGCGATAAAATTACCTGTTCATGGAGATGTAAGTCCACAGGTCTGTAAATCAGTATCTGGTGTACAATACAAGACAAGATGTTTTCTCACATGCGACTCATTGAATGGCTACAAGTTGGAAGGTCCACAAAATGTTTCTTGTGAAGAAAACGGGTTATGGAGCCCAGACAAAATGGAAACCATCTGCAAAGGTAAATAGCCTTTTCTTGTTAGTAACTCTTTCCTTAAACCTCGTGCAGAGGCGTAAGGTACCTGTTGGAGTGGTTTTCTCATTCATGCCACAATAATAATTATATATCAACCCATTCATGAACTGAAATAAGGAATACTGAAATAAGGAATACTGAAATAAGGAATACTGAAATAAGGAATACTGAAATAAGGAATCATCAGTCATTTTATCATCAAAATTCTTTGCTCTTAAATTTTTATTCCCTGTTTGAATCAATTCGTTTTATAATTTCTTTTGAAGAGTCTTTTCCTCGTAGACTGTCATTTTTTCTAACAATTTCAGGAGTTCTTTTCTGCCTCTCAGGTTTCCATACCTTATCATAAGTCAAGTATACTGAACAACTTGGTGACCAAAACTTCCGTAATTACTGGGTGATACCATCATCAACATTTTTAGATCAGGCGACAGAAATGGAAGATGAAGGATCTTATCTAAATTTTCAGATATCCAGCCACCGCAAATTCAGTGTCCTTCAAACATCGTGGTTGATGCAGAAACGAATAGGTCGTATGCAAAGGTCAGTTGGACTGTTCCAGTTCCGACTGACAACTCCAACATACCCACAAGGCCCATCGGCTTGTATCCACCACAAAAGATAAAAGCGGGTCGAACAGAGATAATTTACGATGCTACTGACTCTTCTGGGCTTAGCGCACAGTGCAGATTTACTATCCAAGTCAAAGGTAATAGCATTAGCTGTTTGAACCAGGACTCTATCAATCTTGTCGTTGTCGAGAACTTAATACTTATATATATATATATATACTTATTATGTCTGAGAACGCCCTATTTATCCACTTTAGGGGAAGGGAAGAGAAGGAATCCACTTCAAATGGAAATTTTAAAACAATTGACGATGGATACATAGCTTTCCTTTTTGTCATTCTGCCAAAAGAATGGAGTCGGCGGATTTTGCATATCTATCAGAAAACTGATATTTTTTGCATTTGTGTTACGTTCGAGTTAAATCGTGAATGCTTGTTTAGGTAGATACAACATAATATCGATGTGAGGTTGCTTGGCTTAATATTTGCAAATATCCTGGAATGTTGTTGACACCTTCTTCGGGGCCTTTTAGGTCGCTTGTGTTGGGACTTTAAGGGGGAAAATAACTCGAGCAAACTCGCAGAGCAAAGGGCAGCAGGAGTCTTGGACTGAAAATGCTTAATATCGAATAACGCACTGCCATGCTGCTAAGATGTCGACAGCAATCCCCTCTCTAACTAATTCGCGAATGTGTATTCACTTGTTCGTGTTTTCTGAACCCTAGAGGTTGACACCGCGCATAATTTTTGCCGTGTAATACACAATTTGAAAGACTGTAGGCTTAAAGTTAGAGATAGCTTCTGAAATTAGAAAACACTACCAGATGTGCATTAGGCCGATAAAAATGACAAAAGTCTTATGCCAATAAAACGCTTGAAATAAGGGCAATTAAAGAAACATCGAAATCGATAACTTTTCAAAAGGAAACTCAAACACATCTTTCTCGATTTAAACCACAAAACAATTGTCTCCTTTGTTCTTGATCTACAGACACACAGCCACCAAGATTTCTTTCCTATCCAAGTAATATGCAGATAGTTTCCGGAAAGAGATGGAATAAGATCGCATTACCCCCAAGTTATCATACAGACAATGTCGGTGTCGTTTTGTTTACCACTAGCATTCGCAACGGCAGCGAACTGCAATGGGGAGAGTACAAAGTCATTTACATAATTTCGGATAAGGCTGGCAATACGGCGAATTGCACCTTTCATATCAATATAGCCGGTGAGTATACTGATATTATTGTTTGACCAGTTACACGGGTGGCCGTCACAGTCATACTTGATAAACGGTAGCAAGGAATATCAACTTTGGACGATGGCCTTTCGGCAACTGAAACTGACAGAATCTCACTTCCTACCCTTAAAGATAATATTCAAGGAAATAATTCGCTGACTAAAATGTATTCACATTTTGCATTTTAAGGGTCTTCGTGTGAAGATTTACCAGCACCATTAAATGGAGCGAAAGCTTGCGAAACTTGGCTCGTAGGAATGCACTGCACTGTGCACTGTAATAAAGGATATGGATTTGCTACGGATCCTCAACAGCTGTATTTCTGCACTCCTACGGGGAGATGGGTTAATGCAAAAGTGAAAGGAAATGAAAAGCCCCACCTTCCCGATTGCACGAGTATGTATCTAATGCGCTTCGATTTTAAAGATGTGGTCACTCTGATGCTTAAACCGTTATCATCATTATTATCAACTTTTTATTAAAACGATCACTATCACTATCATTAAATCTCATTTCAAAGAGATGATTAACAATACAATTTTTATTACTAAGACGTTTACTTTTATGACCAAATTTTAATATGAGATCGAGGCACGTTACTTGTCTTAAAAATCATTTTCTCATCTTATTTCAGGACGTCTTTTAAAATGTTGATGTAATTTCGTTACAGAAAAGCAAAATCCGACGGATGTTCGCGTCGAAGGAAGGGTTCAGTATCATACGAACAAGTGTGATGGTGAAGAAAGTAAGAAAGTTGTGGCAAAGGAATTTATAGCTCTGTTTAAGCAGCACCCGATCGGCCTTTTTGGCGGCTGTCTCCGTAATGACAAGTGCAAGATTGAAAACGTGAGAGTTGAATGTGGAACAAGAACAAGAACGCGAAAAAGGAGAGGAACTTTCAAAACAAAGAAAACTCCAATAACTTACATCCAGGTGCAGTTTACTGTAACTGTTCCACTAACAAATACCTCTAATCAGGAATTGAACAAAACTACCAAAGAGATTTCTCAAAACTTTAGGTCCGATTTAGAAAACATGGACCTGGACTTAAATATCAGTGGGGTTGAGATGAGGCTTGACAAGAGCACACCGCCTGTCATCGCTATCCAAGATTATGTCTGTGACAAAGGACAAGTGAAAATTAAGAGCCATTGTGGTAAGTTTTATCACTAGCCTTTGGCCCTCTTCAGAATACATATTTTTCTCTTTACTCCTAAACCTTCGCCTTTCCTTTTATTTTCTTCTTACTCTGTTATATTAAAAGTATATATCAGTTTTTCCTAAACTGATGTTGGAGTCTAGCATACTTTAAAAACTTTACTTTCTTACAATCCAGTAAACTGTCCAATGGGCCATTTCTACAATGACAAGGAGGGAGTATGCCAGAAATGTCCAGCGGATTACTACCAGGATAAAGAGGCCAAGCCCTCGTGTGTTCCTTGTCCCAATGGAACTACCACCCTGGGACAAGAAGCTTCAAAATCGAGGAAGGAATGCTTAGGTACACCATCCTTATTAGGTAGAAAAAAATTGCTTGATCTCACCCGCCCACCAATTGAATGCGAATGTCCAGCAGTTGCATAAGACTCCATAACGTAACTAAACAACTATCATTTGAATGACTCTAAACAATCTGGCAAACCTATAGATGCATCACCAGTACATTAGCTGTAAAACGTAAAGTTAGATGTAGTTGTTCAACTGTATATATTTTTTGACAGAGGCGTAAAAATATCATGTTCATCGCTTGTACCGTGTTTTCGCAATTCAGCTGATTGGAATTTGCAATTCGCAGCAGCAGCAGCAGCACAAAAACCATTACCTCAGATGGAAGTTTCGAGGAATGAGGAGAGTTCTATGTGGTCAAAATTAAATTCGTCAATGGGGGGAAAACATGTCCGATATACCAAGTTGAACAAAGAGATCTTTTATTGATGGTCCGAAAAAAAATTGGAAAAACCCATAACGCTAACGAAAATAGAACTGGTTTGAAAAAGTGCCCCATCACTAAGACTTTATCTTTCCTCTTTATTCAGAAAGCTGTCAAGCTGGCTATTTCTACGATTTTGACAAAGCCTCATGCCAGAAATGTCCTGTGAACCATTACCAGGATCATAAGGCACAGGTGACCTGTATACCCTGTCCCAAAGGAACATACACTCGCGGTGCGGAAGCCTCCAAGTCGCGTCACGATTGCCACGGTGAGATATAATCCTTTTCAAATAGACCCTTTTGACAATAAACGTTCTCGTTTTGTTGGGTTTCTCATTGTCTAGGTTTATCCTAAAACACACACAGGTGATAACTGGGTATAAAAAAATCGTATTAACCTAAAATACTTCTAATCAGTGCTTTTGAAAGAATACGCCCTCAGAGTTGTCTGGTGAATCCCATGAATGAAGACAAGCTGCTCCGTTTGTGAGAGTAACTCCATAACGTGATAAAATGAATATTTTTGCTTTTAGAATATCAAATTTTTACTTGGTCCTCGAGATACCATATTTCAAACTTTTTTTTTTGGGGGGGGAAGGAGGGATGGGGGGTTATGTTTTTTTTTCTTCCTTTGTCTCTGTAATAGATTTGATCTCAAAGTATTGTGACATGAGCGAAAATATTGCATGATGCCTTTTGTGAGGTGAATGAGGTAAATAAACCTCTTTCTGCATTTCTCACTGGAACAAATCATAGTGGATAGTCCACTTGTACGTGTCATTTTACTGTTTTTGTACCCTTCCTTCGTCTCTCGATTCAATCATCGTCGTGGTAACCGGCTCTTCTTTCTATTTGTTGTGTTTCGCGTCAGACAAGAGATGTTTTGTGAAAAAACCACCCAGGAATGGGGCAATTGCTTGCACAACCTGGTCAATGGGACGCTATTGTACTCCATTTTGTAGCATCGGATGGGATTTTACGAGACCAATGAGAGCGTTTGGGGTGTGGTTTTGCAATGAAAGAGGAATGTGGCTGTCAAGACACTGGCCTGATTGTTCTAGTAAGTATTGTAAATAATCAATTATAATAAGTCGCATGACGTGCTCAAAAGCACAATTTATGTTTTGAAAATTTTCATCATGAACGAACTGCAGGCAATTCCATTTTGAAAATAGCTTCCAAAACGTTTGAAACAACTGACTTGCCTTAAATGCCACTGGAGTGATAGGATTTTCAGAATGATAATTTTTTCGAGCGAAAATTCAGTTGAAATTTTAATTTGTTTTTGTGATGTCGCGAACGAGAAACGCTGTAACAACCCAACTCAGAAACCTGCCACGCGCGGGATAGAATTGGCAAGCGCTTTGTTAAGGAATGCCTGCCATCTCTTTCAGTACCATACAAGCCAAATACATTCAAAATGGCGGGAGGGATGTATTATTACAGCGGAGATTGTAGAACCCCTGAAGTGATGTCACAAATACAGCAGCGGTTCATACAGGTACTGAACTCGTCAGTGTTTCGAATGGTCTGCCAGCTTCCTACCTTCCGTGACAAGTGCAAAGCTGAGAATGTTGACGTTGAGTGCATTAATGACGACAGTAGCACTTACACAAAAACGCAAAAAACAGGTAATATACTTGTTTTTATCAATTTTCTCGTGGTTCAGTTTTGCATATGATAAAACGTCAGTTATGGGGGCATGGTTGTAATAGAGGAGGATGACTTCACTTAAACAGGTAAACATCCTACTCCTTAACAGTCTTTTAATTTTTCGTTTTTCAACCTTTTATTATCCGATTTACTTTACTCTCATTCTACTAAAAATGATTTTAACCATACCTTAAAGACGTTGTGTAGATTCCCCTACTTGCCGATGGTGAAAATAAAATCAGTTCCATGCATGATACATAGGAAGGCTTACGAAAATATGAAAAATAGTCTATGCCCTTGAACTAAATAAAAAAGCTATTCATGATACCAGGTATGTTTGAAAAATTCTGATCAGCCATTTCTACTTTTCCTCATTTATAAACTATTTAGTTGATTGTAAAGCTGGCTATTTTTACGATACCAGCAAAGCACTATGCCAAAAATGTGCCGTGAAGCATTACCAAAATAAAAGAGCCAAATTCTCTTGTATTTCGTGTCCCAGAGGAACACACACTTTTGGAAAAGAAGCCTCCAAGTCTCTCTATGATTGCCGTGGCAAGTTGTTCGTTTTACATTCATGTTGTCTGACACATTAGCAATTAAGGATGATCGTTTAGAAACTACCTTCCCTGCTGCACTGGGTCGGTTCAATAACTGGCGCAAGATCCGCAGCCTGATTTTAAACTAACTGAGAGGATGCTCCTTAGTAAAAAGAACGGAACCATTGTCATCATTTCGCGTTTAACCAAGTTAAAACGTGAGAAAGTTTCATTTGAAAGTGACAACGCAGTTCAGAAATTATTAGAAAGTTCCAACCACCCCTGAGAACAAAGCTTCAAGTCTTCCAGTAGCGCACATTCAGTATGACCATAATAATATTGCTCTTGTTGAGCCTCGTAAAATAAAATAAAAATTTTAATACACAAACGCCCTCGCAAGTATACCTACTCTATAATAAGAGCCGTATTTTTTATTTTGCTAATTAAATTCTCTGCTGTAAGTTGTGCAGTTATGAATACCATTTTTCTTTTGCTCGTGTGACTGCACCATCTTAATTGATAGAACTTTTACTGCTTTGCAGAAAAATGAGAACACCGCATATCCTACGCGCGGCCTTTGGGTTTGAGACCACCAGAACCACATAAAGGCATGGCATGGAGATTGGAGAGATATGACAAATAATAACAATATTACGTCCAACTCTTTAGACTTCTCTTGTATCATTTTTAGAAAGTTGAGTTTTTCTTTTTTTTTTTGAAGAAATCTGTTACTAGTTCTTTCAAGAGTAGTATTGTTACGTTAGCATAATTTCAAACAATCAAACAAGCAGACCATCAGACAGATGTAGTTTCCCTTAGTTCCGCACATTCTATCAAGTAGTCCTTTTGTGGTTGAAGCTGATTTCATGAGTAACAAAGGTGAATGTGTAAAAAGTTGGTTCTTGCGAAGTACCTCTTGGAACGTCACTCTGGTACTTACACATCGTCAGAGCTCCAAACATATTTACTGGTAGAATTTGTAACCAGGAATAACTAGTTTTCCAGCTGGGTTTTATGAGACGGTTGCTAAAGAAGAACCTCGAGGTTTGTTTATTCCAGTGGAGCAACGAAGCCATAAATAACATAAAAAAACCTATTAAAATCCAATAGTAGAATTAACTGCGTGTATTTAGTCATAAAATCTAAAGGATAAATTAAATCTTGACTTGATTGATTTTTCTGTGGATTTGTAGATATTCTTCTTTTTTATTCACTCGAATCTGACAATCATTCTATTGAAAGAGAATGTTAATTTCAAATTTGATTTTTTCACTCAGTAGTTGTATCGAGAGGTATTCCTCAATCAGGGATTTCCAACAAATTCAAGGTTTGAAAATGGTAAAACTTCCCTCACCGGAACTAGCTTACTTCAAACGAAAACAAAAATCGAATCAATAAAAAGAAAAAAAAGAAAAATTCTCTCTTCATTTCACTCATCTTTCACTTACTTCTTTTTCTTAATGTGATTATTGTTTTCGGCGAGACTAAAGTAAAAACAAAAAGAACATTAACAAAAAAGGGAAAGAGGGGAGGGGGGGGCGAGGAGGGTCAAGTAAATTGTCTCCTCAGTATCTCTAAGGATTGGGAACCACTTGGTGCGCTGAAATTTCCCAAAATTATATCAGTTGCATAACGTACTCTACAATAGTACGCATGGTATGAATGCAATGCGATGAAAAACCGAAATTTTGATCCTCTTGCCAAAAGCTAAGAAACAATGACTCTTTTTGGTTAACCTTAACGTTGTTTATTGACAATTCTCGTGGTGCTGAAAAACGTCAAATGCCTGCATTTTACAAAATATACTACGTAATACTAATGGCTATCAAAAATAAACATTTCAAACTCCTTCAAGAAATCAGTTGTTACTTCTTCTCCGTCGATTTCTTCTATCGTATAATTACATCTGTCAGTGATATACCCGGCTTGAGTTGCTCGAAACTCCGGCTTACAGTAACCCTATGTTTAACTGTATAGAAAAGCCATATGCTTATATCTCAACAGCTAAACTTGGAGTAATGCAAATCGCCCTCTAAAAACCTGGTTCTGACTTACATTTCTCGTTGCATCTTTTGATAGGAATTCGATAGAAAAGTGTCACAGTCACATGGAAATATAGATAAGCGAATGCTGTCTAAATAACTTAGAATCTACCACAGATCAAATAAAACACCATTGATTTAAATAACTTAGCCTCCAAAACAAGACAACAAGTACGAACAGTCAACTCTACAATTTTTGTTTTCAATCCGTTTCACTCCGGCCCTACTATGATTAAAGCTGTAATATACTTTCAAGTAAATTCTTTGATCAACACTTTCTGAGTTGGTAACTATCTATTTCCATTAACTGTTCGCTGGATTCAGTACGAGCCGTACCATGTTGCAAGGAAAAGTATGTGTTAACTGATCAATTTTGGACTGTTTTGGTGGAGTCCAATTTACGCGTCACCAACATTTAGAGGTGGGAAAGAGGGAATTTTCCCTCAATTTTGACCTTGGTTGCAAATATAAAATCGCTTGTAACTTTTGAAGAAGTAAACAAATATAAATATCATTGTGTACTTTTCTTGTCTGCAACACGTACATGTGTATGCTATCAAAAAGCACAAAATACTTTCAGTAACTTTTAGAATTCAAAATTGTTTTAGCGAATGGAGTGAAACTAAATAACGATTGGAAAAATTTTTTCTTAATAAAGACTTAATATCAGCTCGACTTCGAAGACTAGTATTATGCAAAAAGCTTTAAATAAACATTATCACTCAATCAAATAACATCAATTTCACGTATCAAAAATATGAGTTCTTTCACAACCTAGTGTACCTTAAATACAATAAATAGTTCAAAAAAGGTCAAAAACAGTTGCTAGCGGCCTGCATCAGAAGCATACTAAGCACGTTCTACATTTATATTGTTCAAGTTGACATTTGTGAGTGTTCAACCAAAAAGAATTGTAAAAAATAAAAAAAAAAAAATAAAATAACAACAACAACAAGTTTCCTATTCCTAGAGTTCATTGTGTTGCGACCAGGGCGTATTTACACTTCTTCGTCTCCTCCTCTTATTGTTTGGGAATGTTAGTACAAAACGGTTCTTGTCGACAGAGCTCTATGAAACAAAACAAATAAACAGTACTTTTTCCATTACGTGAATATCAGTTTTAAGTCGAACAACATGAGCAACAACCTATTTAATATCATATTTCATAATGCAGGATACCCTGGGTTTCGAGGACCCAAGATTTGCGAGACCCATATCCTTCAAAATATGCCACACCCAAGTTGCTCAAAGGGTTCCTAAGACTAGTCATTTCACAGGAGCATTTCCTAATTATAGCAGATCACGAACCATCAAACACGTTACTCACCGCGACGAAACTTGTTCCGCCAATTAGATTTCCATGGTAACCATTTCCCGCTTGATCAAGAATGATTGAATCAGAAGTCTCGTCCATACTGAAATGTGCTCTGACCACACCCTTGTGGATGGGTAACGACAGGCCGGCAGTTTTCATGTAATTAACAATATCCGCGTCTTCGACATACACCCCCCACAGAGTCAACTGTACAAAGTAAATAAAGGGGGCAAGTTTATAAAGAAACTGTTATTGCTTGAGCCCCACCTAAACTTGGAATATTTCTGTTCAGAATCGTGTTTGTCGCACACAACACACGCTAGCTAGACGATCAAACTGCTTATGAGGTGAAATATTACAAGGCAAAGTTTGATTAAGCATGGTAATGCATTCAAATCCAGTGTCGAGAGGGGCTGCTAAACAATCAAACGGGGTCATATATCATAATGGTGGCCGAATATATTTGATTCCTACTTGATTCTCTTGAATTTGAATACGAATTGACTGGGTACGAAACAACCGTGGTTCGAAACGACTGGATATCGACTGTTATAAAGTAAGAGCAAGTTCTCCTACTTGAATATTTACGACAACTCCTGCGCACTGACTACCCTGTTTGAATAACTTTGAGAATTGGCTCTTATAACAGCAGTCAAGAAGTTGCACAGTCCTCTTCATTGAAAGTAACTATTCATTGACAATGAAAAATGTTCTCCGAAAACTCAGAGGGTAAATGAAAACAAAAGCAACCTCAGGACTAAACAAACTTACGTCATCCACAGTTCCTTTCAAGTAATTACTGTTGTCACGGCCCACATAAAGAAGGTCACGAGACGACTAAAAGAGAAATAGAAAAACAAAAGAAGGTCACTAAAAGACCACTAGAAAAATAGGAAATACAATTTCAACTTTCTCCAAGTTACAGAGAGGTGAAGGAGGCCAAAGGTGGGAATTTATGCATAAATTTAATTTCCTGTCTGCGTTTTTTCAAGTTTTTCCCAAATTTTTTAGGCTAATTTCTTTGAGCATACCCTACCCAACCGGGATGGAAGAGCCCGACATTTTGCAAGAGTGTGTTCATTCTTTAACCCTTTTCACTCTAACATCGGTATGCATATTCTCCATACTGTTCCCTATTCATTTCCTGAGGGCTGAAGAGGAAGAATTTGCTTCAGTTGACAATCACGTGCTTCTTTAGCTTGTGATCATTTCCTTTATTCTCGTGACCTTAATGAGTGATTCAGGGGTGATATCATGAAGGAAACTAGATGCTAGTCACTCCTGAGAGTCGGTAGGGTCTGAGGCTGGAAGTCTATTGTTGTACGCTGCAGTCCGGCAATCTCTCGTTCGAGCTATAAAAACAAGAGTCTTGCCTTCGTTTTATATTGAGTTACTTTAAAGAACTTTAGAGGTAACCAAACGTTACAAAGAGACCTACCCAGGTGTGAGGCAATACATCACTCTTTGATCCAACGGATGAACCGTTTACAAAAAGTTCAAGTTGGTAGGCTGAAAATGAGAAAAGAGTGAATTTTGTCAAGAATTATTTCATGCTAAAATTTTGAAAAAACTAAGTTTCGCTTCTTATAGGTGAGTCGACCGTCAGCTTCCTCCTAAAGAAGCATAATATAACTTAAAAGACATTATCCTGTCAATTCATCCTTCTGATGGCGTCCAATGCAATTATTCATAAATCAGCGTATTTGAAAAGCTTAGACTTATAGACTGATTTACAGATAGAGTGAGTGACTTACGGGCTGACAAACTGGCTAATTGACCAGCTTTTTGAGTGACTGACTTACTGATTGACTGACTTACCAACTGATTGACTGATTGCCTTCCTTATTAATTCAGTAACGGATTGATTGTTGAAGTGCTGGCTAGTTGACTGTTTGACTGTTTGAATACCTTGCTTGTTGAGTGTTTGAGTGTTTGAGTGAGTGAGTGAGTGAGTGAGTGAGTGACTGAGTGAGTGACTGAGTGAGTGACTGAGTGAGTGAGTGAGTGAGTGAGTGAGTGAGTGACTACCTCACTGCCTGTCTGACTGACTAACTGCCGGGCTAAATGAAAGACTGAATGACTGACTGCCTGCCTGCCTGGATGACCGATTGACGGACTGACAGTCATGCAAATTAATTCCATGAATAATAAGGTTTGTCAATGAAATTGTGTTCTTACTTTGGGCGTCATATCTGTAGGCCAGGTGATGCCATTCTTCGGGCTCGATCACTTCTGATCCTTGGGCCACAGACGATCCCATGTTCCCATAGACTTGCCTGAGCAGCGAATGGAACGGAAATGTAATTAGTTTCCTGTTCACCTGAATATAATGTCGTCAAGTAAACAGATCAACAAACCACAGATCATACCTGTTTTTCAAGTACAAACACAGTTTAGCATCCAGACTACACACGATGGGCATGTCGGTAATGGGATAATCCGCTGCCATCCAAACCCAAGTGCTGATCGTAAAACTGCAAAAAGACAAATTGTATGAGGTTACAGGAAAATGCTGACCCCTTCCTCTCCTCACTTATGATTCGAATTGCGTTATCTTCGAATTCTAATTCTTCCCTACTTGGGCAATACCCTTGCCATGAGATAACATTCAAACTCCATATCCCAGTTTAGGGGATAAGAGTGTATTTACATGAAAGAATAGAAACCAGTGACAATTAAAAAAAAAGCAAGAAAGCAAATTTAAACAGTAAATGGAAGCACCTGTCTGTTAAACCAAGATTATGAATGGATGGAAGGGTTACGTGATCATCGACACCATCAAACTGCAAAGCTTGATTTACCCTACAAACAAATAGAGGATATTCCTTAAGTTAGAGAAAGTAACTTTCCTGACATATTGCATCCAATTTCGACCACAACGTCCATCTGCCTAACGTTTCAGTGAACAACAACACGTTCACAAGTTTGTGTAAATGACTGTTCCTAATCCTTGCACGAAATAATTGCCGAAGCAAAATGCATTGCTTCGATAGTACCGATTGCGAAGTCAGAACTAGCACTAAAGACAAACTATAAAGCCCCTATTAAAAGAAACTGCTTATTTAAGAATAAAGGCTGATAGTTTCCAAAGAAACTGTTGGGGCTGCGTCGGTGGGAGTAACGAAATAATTTGGATATATCAACAAAGTTGAAGTGGTAAATTGGCCACCGTAACGATTACAAAAGCTGTCGTTTCGAGCCTTAGCCCTTCGTCGGAGCGAATAGAGGAATTGTGGGTTGTGTGTGCTTTTAAAGGCAGAGAATGGAGCTACGTTATTGGTGCTTATTTAAGAGACACGGTGGTCAAACGGATAGGTTCCAGTGCGAGACTTGGCCGAATCGTGCTGAAGTGTTCTTGGACGAGACACCTTACTCACAAAGTACCCGTCCACCGCAATATAACTGGCTACCAGTGATGAAATCTGCGCTTCCCATCTGGCTGGATGGGTCACTTGGGCCCTTTGTATACAGTTTTTATACTCATAGTAATCACCCATGATTCACTTTAGTTTTAATTTTTAAATTTAATTTAATTTATTCGCCCCGGGAATGGCAGGAGAAAGGAACAGAACTTTCGTCCCAATTGACACCCAACCCCAAATTCTCAGTAAACAGGCCAGACCACATCACAGTAATCTTGTGAGTGGGTTCTTTAACGTCCCCTGCCTAATCAAACTAACTAATAAATGGATGCAGGAGACGGGACCTACGGTTTATTCGTCCTTATCCGCGAAGACCAGAGCGTGTATCTATTTCTTGATATCATAGAAAGGTAGCACACTCTCCTCAGTTAATTTAAGACCTTGAGTGTTGGTCCGGCCGGGGCTCGAACCCTCGACCTCCCGCGCAACAGTCTGGCGCTCTAACCAATTGAGTTAACCGGGAGGCGGTTCGAAAACACAATTTACGACGAGCATTTGTAAAAACACTACCTCGCACATGCGGTATGAAAGATGAACGATGACATGCAATGACATATCCACTAACCTTTCAATACATCTGGCTTCTAGTCTGGACCAGATAACATCCTGCTGGCCGAAAACCATCATACCCAGTCTTCCCCCAGTAATCGTTGTATCATACACATCACCTGATTCAAAAAGTACTGTTTCGCCATGTTTAATTTGTACTCTGAAATAAAGAATCACATGATGTAGTCTCCTTTCATTAAAATGTTGCCCCAAAATATAAGCCTGTCATATCCTCGAAAATGTTTTTGCTCATAGATTTATCATTTTACCTCAAATCATCGTAGACAAAATCCCCTGACTTAGGCTGGTGTTTTACTCAAGTTTTCAAAATCAATCTCCTCTAGACTAAATACGGCTGGAAAGGTTCTTGTTACCTAATAAGACCGATGGAAGGTCTGTGGAACACGTGAAAGGCGTAAGAGGTTTCATATTTCCATCCTTCCATTTTGGGATCTTGCCACAGAAGCTTTACCTGAGGAAAAAGGTAGAAGTTTGTTACAAAGTTTACAATACTGCATTTTGGATGTTTTTTTTTTTAAACAGTTAAGCGTTTCACTCACCTGGTTATTGGTATCTCCAGAATGCCACAGCGCTTGCGCCAACGTACTTCCAGGCCCCGTGTTTGAATCGACAAGCTGTGAAATTAAAAGGAATGACTATACAAAGAACAATTGCTAATTCGCTGAATTCCGGTAGAGTGCTTTTACCTTCAACTGGACTCCTTTAATTCCTGCCCTATCGTTCAGATCCTTAAAATTACTGTTCTCTCTTCTCCACATCACCACATAGAATTTGCGGTTTGATTGATAACCAAACACCAGGCCGACATAATCGGCTGACTCACTCTCCTTCACATAGAGTACTCCACTGAAGTCAACGGGACCATATCGGACTTGACCTACCGGCACATGAGGATATATCGGAAATGTGAACAAAGAATCCAAGGTAAAAACAACCATCATATCATCCCCGATATAAAGTAATCAGTACTTTCGTTCGTAGGCGGTTGGTCTAAAATGTCGTCCGATGCATGAGCTTTGGTTATGATTACCTTTAAGAACACGCGTTTTGGACGCCTTTTGTGATAGCCGTTGCCTCCTTTCCAAATAAATTGAGGGACTTTCCCCATCCAACTAAATCAAACATCGTGGTCCTAAGGCACAACTGAGGCTACTGTATAAATGTGACATTGTCCAAGTGATCTAAACGTCAGTCCTGGTCTCAATCACTTAGAGTTGCGTCAAGCAAAAATTAATTTTGTGAACAAGCTTTTAATGCATCAGTAGAAACAAAACAAAAACCTAGTACTCCTTTCCCAATACAAAGCTGTTGGGAAGGTTACAACGAAACATAGCTTTCATCGGCACTTTTTAGGCATCCCTTTTGCAAGTTGTAACAAAGTAAAGCTCGGTGTAAATGAATTTTTGAGTACAACACTTTCAAGTTCAGAAGCTCAACTTGACATTTATCTTCTTTTCACCAGCACAACAAGCAATACTAAGACACATGAACACAAACCGATAAGCATAGCAGGGTGCTTTGATGAGGTGTTAGTAATTTCTTCAACGTCAATACCCTGGGAAGGAAAACAGGAATGTAAATAAACCATCTGAAAGTAGACTATGGTCAACGAAGAAAGAGAAGGGTGGAAAGCATTATTACGGAATGGCTTGTAAACACTCTAATGGAAAAACCATGGATATAAGATACGAGGATGAAAAAATCATAGTGGGTAAGTTAGAAAAACAATGCTGAACGTCATTTGAACATGGCAGAAAGTACTAGAAGAGAGTGTTATCAGTCATTACTGTCGACAGCCCATAGACTTTCTTGTGTACAACATCCACCACTGCCTCCAGAAGCCCAGATCAGCCTATCACAAGAGATAATCCTTGCACTCTAGAGAACAAGAACTTGTGTTCTCTTGCTATGTTGAAAAGTGTTATCAAGCAAGACATACACTTTTAGCGACTCTCCAGACAGGAAGTTCATCCGAGTGTCCAGAATACAGGTCCACAGTGAAATGATCTGTGAAGCTTGTCTTACTGAGATGTTTCACATAAGGACAGTGATCATCGTTGTCATGGACACCATCTCCATCATAATCATCAACACAAGCATCTCCAACAGGTCTCGCTACAAACAGATAACAGGTACAAGCCTACTTAGTTGACCGACTTACGTGACTGAGTATGCATTAGACAAAAGAAAAGCTCGCTTTGGCATAGAATAGCAGCCTTAAAAGAACCCATTGTAAAATGTAATGTCAAAAGCCCAAGCTTTATTGCAACGATGGAATATCAACATTGTATGAGGTGAAGTTCTCGCCAATTCTAGCATTTTCGATTTTGCTGACGGTGATATTTCGATATCCAAACCTCCTGTTTTCGCATCACTTATTTCCATTCTTAAATTATCCACGAACTCTTCGGTAATTCAACTCATAAGGTAACAAGGGTGTTTACCTCTCGGGTCGTAATTCAAGTTAACATGTTCTTGACCAGCATTGCTCACTAAACGGCAGTTATCATCATGATTGCCAACATTGTCATTGTCCTGATCGTCATCACAAGCATCTCCTATAAATTCGTTTAAAGAAGAACATTTATACTAACTTCACCCTACTACGCTGTAAAAACTAGTTGCAACAATTGGTTTGTCATCCGTTGCGTAGCTCACAGTAGTTCATCGCTTCGTTAAATTCAATTATTAGAACTGATCATTTGTTGGCATCGTTTTCTATAATCGCACAATAAGGCAATTTAAAGACTTTTTCGTCAGTCCTTTCGTGTGTATTTTATAATGTACCTATGCCGTCGTTATCAGTGTCTGCCTGTTCGCCATTTGGGAGATCAACACAGTTGTCATAACCATCTGGTACGCCATCGCCATCCCTGAAAACAAATTGGCCAGTTCAAGGTTAAGAATGTACATGGAAAAACGTACCTGAGAGTTCACCCGATAAATGGTAAACTAACAGTATTTCTCAGTTAATGACGAAGGCATACTAGGAGACAAAAGACCTTCAACTGCTCCCACTAGGAGTCAAACTTACAAACCGGTCTGTACTTAAGTACAGACGCTCTACTACTTAACTATAGGAGACTCGTGGCAGGCTAGGCAGTTTAACTAAGTCCCTGGTGACAAAAGTGCATTGTTTAAAACCGTTGTTTCTTTGAACAGTGCAGAGCGTATCTGCAATCAGGCCAGCTGTTGATACTTCTATATATAATTAAACGCACTGCTAAGATTGGAATGACCATATATGATGCCACTGTGCACTCTATACACTTAAATGAGGATGGTAGTTCACAGACGCCCAACGGAATGCAAACTGTAAAGACCTTTTGTCCTGTCGCAGTGACGGCTAGTTGGCGATGCTTTTAGGAAAGCGAATGCATCTGAACGACTGCAAAATCTAATCTAACTGATGGCTTACGATTGTAAACATATGAACAACGCTGAGGCCAAAGGCCTCGCTGGGGAAAACTCTGAAGAGGTTTCAGTTCGTCGGAATAGCTGCTCATACCATGGCATTGTGTAAATGAAGGACTTTCAAGAAAGTTCTTCTTTTCATCAGATGGTCGCTAGGACTGTTGTAGAGTTGTACCCCTATCATTGTGTCAAAGAAAGCGTCAACCATATACAAAACTGGTTTTCTTTTTCTCCTTATTTTTTGTTGTGTTTGGGGAGCCAAAAGAGGGGATCTAGCGTCGGAAAATCAAGCTTAAAAACAGCTATAAGCTGAACGGGCTCAAACAAAAGCTAAAGCCTAAAGGGATCTTTTCCTTCCTTTCCTTGTAAACTTTGAACAAGAATCATATTGTTTGCCAAGACATTACACGTATCGTTTCTCATCAACCTGTGATTCCTAAAAGTGGGAGTTGCAAGGTGAAATTACACCAAATCAAACTACAAAATGCCCGCCGTCTAAAATCTTACACGAGCAGTGTTGACTTCGCTAAACTCCCACGAGTTATCAGCACAAACACTCCCCTTCCAATTCACAATACAAATTCGAACATACAGATAATAAGAAACAGGATAATAATCTACAAGTGCAAATTGTTTTGATATCAAACCACATTTTTCAGAAATCAGAACTTTAGGTTACCGTGCACCTTCAGGGGTGTCTCGCGTGCAAGCGATATAGCGCGTCCGGTTTAAACTGTAGATATCTAAACCCCTATATCAAATTAAAGTTTATAGGACTGGCTATCAGACTAAACCAAAAATTTTGAAAAAAAATTAATTGTCGAATTTTTCACGGCTTCTAAATGCGAGCGCCCGAATCACTTTTTAAGAGCTACAAGTCAAAGGGAATTTATTCCACTACTCTCAAATTTTGACAGTTCCTAGTTTTATATATAAACAACAAAAACGTGTCTCCGAATTTTTTATTTCTAAATACTTTTTTTTTTCAAGAGCGATTTTTGTAGGATCACTCCACATTTTTTTTATCCTGTTTCAAAAATGTTCTGTAACTTTTCACTGAAATTGAATATGGCAAATCGCAGACACGTTTTTTTTAACGCTTTGGCCCCGGAAACGGAGGAGCACATTAAATAAGCGAAAAACAAAATTCGCTTTAACATGTATCGTTCAAAAGGTGATTCGGGCGCTGGCATTTAGAAGTCGTGAAAAATTCGACAATCAATTTTTTTTCAAAATTTTTGGTATCATCTGGTWTAGTCTGATAACCAGTCCTATAGCTTTAATCTGATACTGGGGTTTAGATATCTACAGCTGTTTAAACTGGACGCACTACATCGCTTGCATACGAGACACCCCCTGAAGGTGCACGGTAACCAGTTAAGAAGGAAGTGGTTGACTCACTTGTCTTTCCCAGATCCGAAACAAACATCACCATATCCACTTTGATAGGAGTCAGTCTACAGACGAAAAACAAAATTACCAAACTTACTGTAGTTAAAAAAACACTTGTCACTGTCCACAACTCACAAATAATTGAAAGGCTAACGCTCGAAACGTCAGCTAAGAAACTCTTAATGGCGACGAACCTACGTCATCAACTCAGTCAATAAAACAAAGTTACCTGAGTGGATGATGGATCAGTTCAAACTCTTATTTTTCTTATGCTGGTGCGATTAGGATTTGATACTATTTCCCACTCACCATCGAACAATTAATAGTCTTTTTCCAGTGCAAAAAGTTACTTTTAGTAACCAATAAGCCCGTCAAGTTTTGAAACACTCTGAGACTCTGAAAATTGGGCGTTTGTTTGGTGCCATTTTCAAGATAGAAAAGTGAAGTAGTACTGAGTAACCATCGAATAGGCGCGAAGCTGAAAATGTTTTTATGCTTAGTCTTCAAGGTGTAGATTAATATCCATAATTTTCTTAGAAAATAGATGAGACGTACCTGAGCATTATTACTCACTGAAGGGCAGTTATCACAGGCATCACCAACACCGTCACCATCTGTATCGTTCTGGGCTGGATTACTGACAAATTGGCAGTTATCAGTAGTTTTTCCTACAAAATGTTATAATAAATTTAATTCATTAACTGACAAATTACCCAACAAACAAATCAGAAAACAAAGAGAAAAAAAAAACGAAACAAAGAAAAATCAGCTAAGAAGATGATATCTAGAAATAAATCTTTAATAGATGTTCGTGTTTAAAGTTCGGATAACAAACAAAGAGAGCATTTAAGCGCATCGACCTTGCGTCTCATACAGCTTTCTGGTTAGACTTTGTAGCTAGTTTGATTTTGCAGTTCATATTTCCGTAACCAAAAGTCTCGGATACTTAGCCATAGTAGAAAGGGAGAGATAGAAGTTAGAAATCATGCATACCTCTCGTTGCTTTTGTTAGCCAAAAATTCAAATAAAATCTCACGTCAATGACCTGCTTTTACGGGAACAAAAACTTAAAAGGATTAGCCAAAAAATTGCTGATAAGCCAATTCTTGTCAAGCAAATCGCAGTAAAGCCCTTATCCCGCGACCATCCCATCCACTGAAACTTTTTGAAGTGACAGAATCATCTGAACGAGTGTGAAATTACGTGACAATGCGTAACTCTTACCATCGCCGTCAGGATCAGCAGTGTCACATGCATCTCCAAAACCATCCCCGTCACTGTCCAGTTGATCAGGATTAGGTTGATTGACGCAGTTATCACATACGTCGCCTATCCCGTCACCATCCGCGTCAGACTGGTCCTGATTCTTCACAAATTGACAGTTGTCCTGGAAACAACACAACACATATCAAAACAGGCGTTCGCAGGTTCAACTCCGTTTACAACGTTTAAAAATTTGGATGAACTCTGATAAATCTAACGTGTAGTCTGATCTTCCGGGGGAAAGCCTTGCGAAGGACTGTTACAAGTAATAATGACTGACGTCTCGAAAAGCTTTGGGGAAGTCATCATCAGAGTAAAGGCTGATAGTTTCGAAAGAAACTATTGGGGCTGCGTCGGTGGGAGTAACGAAATAATTTGGATATATCAACAAAGTTGAAATGGTAAATTGGCCACCGTAACGATTACAAAAGCTGACGTTTCGAGCGTTAGCCCTTCGTCGGAGCGAAAGACGAAGGGCTAACGCTCGAAACGTCAGCTTTTGTAATCGTTACGGTGGCCAATTTACCATTTCAACTTTGTTGATATATCCACATTATTTCATCATCAGAGTCACTGATGTGATAGCTTTCGCCAAAGTCGTCCAAACGTCAGTCATATCTATCGATAGCAATCCTTCTCAGAACTACTTTAACCCGACAATCAGACGTAATGTGCAAATGTTACTGCAAGGTTAAACTATTTACTTTCATTCGCTATCTACAAAAAAATCAGTCACTTCTATCTGAAACAGTCCCTCTCAGAACGACTCTCAACCTGACGATCCGAGAACAAGTTCAAATATTACTTCAGGGTTTAAACCCTTTACTACCTGAAACGTTCGAAAATCAATAAATAAAGAAATAATTAATAGCGGCAAAATCAAAACGAGCTTTCACTTACTAATTTGTCAATTATCAAATCATTATCGTCATCTTCATCACAAGCATTACCGTCCGTGTCACCATCACTGTCCTCTTGACCCGTGTTAGGTACACTTGGACAGTTATCCTGCAGAATAAATGTCGCAAACTTTTAATAACTGCATTACTGGGTGACACATTTGCAAAACTTTTTCTGAGACCAAAGTGGCTCATTTTGTTTGTTTGTTTTGTTTAATTTAGGCTTTGGTTTTAGTAAAGTGAGCTGTAATAGAATCCTTGAAGATGAAAAAGTCTTAAAGTACTACTTGGGCTCGCCTACCTACATGTGTACAGGCCTTAATGTTTGGTTTGTTATTTGAAGAACAGTTAATCAACTCACGATGCTAGATCGAAGATTCGTCCAGTATTTTATGTCATAATAATATAATATAATAATAATAACGATTTTAACGTGGAGAAACACTTAGCTAGAAGCTAGTTTACAGGTTTTCCCCGAAACAACTAAACAAATAATTCAAATTAAGCCCACGGAAGGAATTGCATCAAGATCTGGGTCGATTTCGCACTCTTCTCCATCACCGCCATACCCACCATACTTACTTTGAAGCAGTTTGGCAAGGTGCAACTTAAGCCCACGGAAGGAATTCCATCAAGATCTGGATCGATTTCACACTCCTCTCCATCACCGCCATACCCATCCTTACACTAACAAGAAGACGTGGCAAACTGAATTACTCACACATATTTCATGCATAGTCACTAACTGAGAGAAGTAAGGTCCGTCAATCAATGCATTTCAACGACTTTCGAGTACACGTGAGATCTTTCAAACTGAAAGTACTGCCTGACTGACTGATCAAGTAAAGTCGTGCTGACGAATTCGGTGTAGATTACATTGTGAAATCTAAATGAATGGATGTAACAAAGTGGCGAACGAAATGAGTCGAGTGCAAGTTGGGTCTAAAAGCATGATTGAGCTTTTATATTGAATGCGTGCCGTGAGCTAGTACGGTTTCGAAATCACACGTTTAAGGTCCGATCAAAGTTTTATTCCTTTTATTTGGTCGCTAATTCTGTTTAGTATAGGGTGTATTTTCGTACAAACTTCTTTTACCGAAACGTTATTTCACTAAGTAATGTGACGAAGGTCAACTTTACTAAAGGGAGTAGACTATTGGTCCGTCCTGAAATAGAACTTAACCAAATATCGCTCTTTCCTAGAGACATTTTTTTCGTTTTTCACTGCAAAAAAAGCAGACAAGTTACCATACCCTGCACTTGAATCTTCCGGCACCAGTCTGAGTACACAGTGCATTTTCATGGCAAGTGTGTGAGTTATTGGTACAAAGGTCACCAGGGTTACAGCCTAAGTAGCCGTCACCAATAAAACCAGGATGGCAAGGGCCACATGTAAAGCTTCCCTGTAAAAAAAGATTAAGAAACGAATGAATGAATAATTTACTAAATTGATAAGTTCCAAAACAAGTGCTCGTTTAGCAACAGTCTAGTGAATTGACACGAAGCTGCGTACATGTGGACGAACGGACGTCATGTCGACACGATCACAAACGTTTCTCATAACTAAGGTTTCTATAATTAAAAACAGAGGTTCTGCAATTTTGAAGCGCGCACTTGATCTCCTTTAAAAAATGGAGATCCTGCAATTGTAACGAATAAAATGCGCGCAGACAAATGCAGAACATTCGGTCAATTTTAGGAGCGATTTTCTAAAAATCCCAAACCACACTTTAAATTCCTAATTTTCGTAGACAGTAATTAATAGACGAATCTTCCATCCACAAATTATCTGCGTACCTTTTTATTGAAGGAGTTATTCTAGTTCCAAAGATAAACAAGAATGTCAGTCTGTAAATGACTCACATTTGTGTTGATACATTGTGAATTTGGATCGCAGCTGCTGATTCCCTCTTTGCACTCGTCAATCTCCTCACAGACTTGCTTGGAATTCTGAGCATCTTCCAGACCAACACCCGACGGAGCGTTCCCTCTATATCCTTCTGGGCAGGCGTTACACTGGTAACCAGGGACGAGATTCTCGCATTTATCGCTCTCATAGCAGGGGCTGGCTTTTGTGCACTGTGGAAAAATAACGATGCGTTGATAATTGGACACTCCAGGAAAAGGGGCATTTCATATTTAAAAAAAAAAAAAAAACACAGACAGCATGAAACCAGAAAGTCAAGAAACACGGTTAAGGGTGCTTTGACTCTAAAACTGCAATAATTTGTTTCCTGGAGGATCAAAGCCTTCAGTTGTGGATGAGGGGCTCTTCTATTCTTGGTTCATTGTCATTTTGCCAGAATATGGCTTCGTTCTTCACCCATCAAGCCCTTTCACAACGGTGATGATTCAACCTTAAGAACGATGCTATTCTACTGACGTGTCCCTATGAGGATTGAAGAAAGTGTCTGTCAGCATTGGTCCCGTTTATTTGTTTGTTTTTGTTCGTTTTGTTTTGTTTTCGATATTGCACGTTCAAGTTCTATAGGCTTTGTCATTAAAGCGTGAAAGGAATTCTGGTTAAAAAAACACTAAGAAATATACAAACATACAAAAGCTGAGTTTGTGTAAGTGTCACCCCTCCTACCTCATTAATGTCGGTACAGGTCCTTCCATCGCCTTCATAACCTTTAGGACACGGACCACATTTCGACTGACCAACTCCGACGTTAAGACAGCTTACACCAGGAAAACAGGTGCCGTTGGACAAACATGGGCCTAAAGAATTTCAAGTGAAATTTCCAGTCAAATCAGTTAGTTAGCAAATAAACTCACTTTATTCTTTCGTTTATTTTACAAACTCATTCTTGGAGAGAAACTTAAACAAAGCAAAGTAACAAAACGTGACTAAGCTAAAGGCAATATTATTGAATAAATTATAAAGAGCGAACAAGTGAATCGCGAAATTTGATAAGCTCTAGAACACATTTATTAAGAATGGCAGAAAAACTTGTCCCTCTATGACCAAAGGTTCTCAAAAACCTCTTAAATATGAAAAGGAGCCCAAATTTAGTTTTCTGGTAAAGAAGTGAGGAAGCGACTCATTTTTTTTTTAGCATTTTTTTACGAGAAAATTCGTTAACATTGTGTATTGGTCTCGTTTACCATTAGACAAAGTTCGAAATCGCCTTTTAAGGAATAATTATAGGAACCCTTTTGCGCTTTGCCGTTTGTACTGAGATATACGTAACTTGGATGCAGATCCATCGCCATAGGTCAGAGATATCATGTTATCACTTAAGAAAATAGCAGGACAACACCCAGTGAATAAGCAAATATAGAGATTCATACTCACAGTCCTCAGGATTAAAACAAGTCTGACACATGGAACAGTTCGGGAAACTTCCGTGCTTTGCCCATTCATTGGCAGGACATTGCCGACAACTGGTCTTCATGTATGTGCTGGTGTAACCATCCTGGCAACACTCACAGGTTTGTGCACGAGACACGTTATTAAAGCTACCCGGAGGACAAAGCGTACATGGGAAGCCTGAGAAAAGAAACGAAAATTCGTTCCAGCAGAGTGTAAATTATCATTGCGAGCAGATTTTCTTAGTTCGCTTAGAGAAACTTCACACACAGCTCTCGTTTAAGTCCTAAATAATACATATCGTGAATCAATTGGACTTGAATATGATTAGTAACGAACTGGTACTCTCAATTCTAGGCTTATTCATATTGAAAGACGCGTGCGTGTTTTTAGTGTAGTGCTGGTTGATGTCTGCAAAATCTGCAAAGCTATTTTCATATCATGATTGTGAGCTCTCATCGACAACAACCGCCAAACTTCGAACCAACCTTTTCCATCGCTGTATCGTCCTGGTGTGCAGTCGTGCTTCCTTCCCTCAAAGCAAACTGTACCAGGTTCACAGTCAAAGCAATTCTCGGGGCACCACTAGCAAGACAAGAGAAATATCGTTAATCAAAAGCTAAAATCTGTTCTCCAAACTAAGTAGAAGCTTCCGGACGGAGTCGAAATTTATTGCAAAGTGGCATCTGGTAGTTTAATGACTCACTTGCCAGGTTATGTTGGAGTTATTTCCCGGTTTCCGTGACATGTCATGCATATGGTGCTTATTTAATGATATTTCTTTTTAGGGTCACAGACACACTAATTGAAAGTAAAGTATCTTGCTCAAGAACAGGATACAACGAAACCGGTCAAGCTGGAGCTCAATTCTGAGGTCAGTACGATAAAAAATCCGCTGCTGCGCTTACCACTAGAAATTCAACGAAATACTCATCGGGTTCGATGTTCCCGGGCACATTTGACCCTGCTTAGTTTGTCTGTTTTAATGCCAACCACTGTCGTTGCAATAATGATTCTGTGGAAAGAATATTTTGTAGGACACCCACCGTTGAATTGCACTTGACATGTGTACTCTCTGGACAAGGGAGCGCGGTACCATTCACACAGAGCTGAAAATAGAATGCACAGGTAATGTAACGCTTGGTGCTCTCGCTTATCGAAACACAACCTATTGGGACACGTGGGGATTCGAGGGTGCTTTTAAGATTAAATAAACATTCCAAAAATCAAAGGTTTCGGTCGGTACAGGCTAGTGAAAAAACTTCAAAACACTCCCACTCTTTCCTAGAAATAAGCACACTACATCCACTTACCCATCCCTCGGGACAAGGTGAACATGTCGCTGCGGAACCAAAGGAGAATTCTGTTGGTGAAGCGAGTCCACATCGCTCTTCAGTTCCATCTCCAACACAGAAATATCCATGAGTGCACCCGCGACATCTCGGCTTTTCGGTGGAGTTTAAAGCTAGAGGTTGAATAGAAATATTGTGGTTACCACAATACTGCAAGATTCAGTTTAAAAAACATATCTTTCATTCTTTAGTTCGCTGAAAATTCGGTGGCAATGTAGGTTTGAAGAGGAGCAAAAGAAAGTTTTTGCCAACCTTCTTTTAGGGCCATGCTAATTGTATAATATCCTACCAAATCAGCTACAGAGAGCTCATTGGCAAGATAGGCAATACACTGAGCCTGCATTTCTTTCTTACGGAAAACAGTTGACCTTAAAACTTAGCCAATCCTGCTCTTTGAATGGTCTTCAGAATGAGCCATTTGAGCTTATATACCATGGATCACACATCCACTCTTTTTTTTGCAGATTAAACAAAGTGTTTATTTGCAATGTTCGAAGCGGATTTGGATGATTAGAGTCCAAATTACAACAAAAGCAAAAGCACCAGTTTTAGGATATGATAGTTGTGGCCATTTAGCATTTAATATCCGACGCGTACTGATAGAACAATTGTTAAATAGTGTACGCTTCTTATGAGGTACTTACGGTATTCAGATCCTGTAAGCCCAGGCGCTCTAAAGAACACCTCACCAGTACCTGGATCAGCTACAACAGCCCCCGTCACTTCGCAAGTAGCATCAAATGTGATATTCAAAGGGATACCATCACCGCGTTTTGGTGAACCTCCATCCACAGCAAATACGAAGTATTTGTAGGTCCATTTCACAGTCTTATTGCTCCACACCACCTCAGTACCATTATTGACATAAAACTTCGTGGCGTTGATGTGCGGACTATTAAATACGACAATATTTTAGGTATAGAATAGAAAAAAATATGAGGAAAATGAAAAGAGGA